CGGCTCCTTGCTGCTCAGGATGCCTCTCCTCAGCCTGCCCAACATCATTGCCACCGGCCTCGGGTTGTTTCAGCTCACGTTTTTGTCCCCTCACGTGTGAAGGCATCACGATGGCTGGCTGAGTCCTACAGCTAATATGGGCGCACGGGTCCATAATGGTACATTGTAAGTGAATGTCTCAGGGTAGACAGCAATAATAATTAGCTGTCATGATTTGAAAAAAGGATAATCCATGCCATTGAGTTAACAATCACTCACACAACACACATGGATTTAACTAATCTTAATTTGGAGAAAAATAACAATTCTAAATATATCAAATACCCTATTTCATGGCAACCTGCGGCGGTGTTTATCTCTGGCTTCCAGCACATGCGAGTTATTTAGTTTCTCTCACTGGCAGTTTTACCATTCAAAAGGCTGAAATGAACATTCGTGGAGCAGGGGTTGCAGTTAAATCCTGCCTCTGACAGGGAGCCTTTTTTCACGGTGCACATCTAGTACAAGTACATAATGTATGGAGCCCAGCACTGGCGGCTGGGACAGGACGAACAAGGAATTCCAATCAACCCCCTCCGCTTTCCTAGCACCATCTTTGCAGAAATTAACTACACCGTCTTAAAAAACCTCTGCTGCTGGTGTGGTTATCTGTCCGCAAGAGTATGCTGCCCTGAATGTGCGGACCAGTCAGTGAAGCTGGAGAAGGACTTGTCCAAGAGGTCCCTGCCCCACGGAGGCTCCCTCCCCTCTGCCAGGGTTCTCTGAAACCATGCGGCATTAAAAACAAGCTGGCTGGTACTTCTTCTTTAATCTGGATCGTTTCAGAGAGCCCTGCTGGCAAACAGCCTGGTGGCCCGCAAGCCTAGCAGGGCAACGAGGAGGACAGGAGATACCGTCTGTCAAAGGACAGCGGGAGCCACCTTTCCAGGGCCTCCTTCAGCCAGGACAGGTCACCCGCTTATGCCTAAGATCTGATAAATATGAAAGATAGAAAGAGGTATAAGATACAACAGTGGTCTAATTTTTTCCAAAATACCTGCCAGCGGTGAAGTGAAAGAAGCGCTGACTGATAACTCCTAGCCAACTCATTGGCCTGGCTGTGTTTTGCTGTGCGACAATCAAGTACATCTGTTCGATACTATCACACCCTCTGTGCAAGAGGCAGAACTGATTTTCAAACAGGTCAGCCAATTCGAAAAAAAAAAAAAAACGACTTCACAGGACAGACTGCTCCTAAGCAAGTCACGTCCTCCCAGTGCCAGCTAACGTGCTACCACACACCTCACGGACAGTGGTAACTAAATGAAAGCGCCTTGAAAAGCTTGGATTTGCAAGTTACCAGTCAGGAAAAGATGACAGACTTCGTTATCAGAAGGTCTTTAAAAGCTGACTGCAGAGATAAAGTTGCCTTTGTCTCTATTGATATCTAGAAATGTCAGTTGGAGATTTGTGTTTCGTGCATGCAGATTCTTGCAGACTCCTGAGCCCTACCTGCCTTCCTCAAAAAGAAGCGGGACACGGTCTCTTGTGTGTCCACGAGCTATTCAGTGACCAGAGCAAGCAGAGTTAACAAGAAAGAATGGCAAAAAGAAAGAGAAGAGGAAAGACCTCAGGACTCCGGAACCCCCTGCGCCAGGGTGAACGCTTGGCGCGGTGCTGCATCCCAACATCCTCACGCCCGGAGGGAAGAGAGGTGCAGTGGCAGAGCCAAGCTCAGCACTCAACGTACCCGTGCTGCACCCTCGCTGCACTCAGCCGTGGGAAGCTGGAAGGTTTGGCGGCTTAGTCACACTGCAGAAGGCCGCACAAATCATTTTGACCAAATAAGAAGGTCTACAAAAATAACACATGATCAAGGAGAGGAGCTGAAATCTATTTGAGGGCAGCAGCAGTGGCAGCATATTTCAGGGAGCCAGAGTGGCGAGTGGGTGATTTCTGGTTTCCCTCTTCAAATATAAAGACTCAATTATCTTTGAACAGCTTGCTTTACACATGAATTGACACATTTATTTTACAATAAATAACTGAAAGTTATCTATGTTTCCTTTACTGTTAATCTACACAAAGAAATAATAAACAGAGCTTGTCTACAAAAATGCAACTACTGCAGTCCTCAGAATTCAATTAAGCTAAAATAATTAATGCTTCCACCATATTAAATGACTTTATACATTTGAGCCACTGAAGTTTTTTTATTCTTTAATCTTTTTTGCCTTTTTATTTAATAAAAAAAAAAGTTAGTTTCAAGGGGGGGGCTGGCTAGGAGGGGGAAAAAGAGCATGATTTGCTGTTAAAATGTAATGGTCTCCTTTAGCTGACACAGCATGTAGAGTGTTTTGTGCCTTTGATTAAAATAACATTTTAAATGCTTTGAACAAACATATCTCCCCATACTTCTAAGGGATTATTTTACATATTTCTTGGTGGAATAAAGAAATTCATTCTTCCTGTCGCAGTACAGAAAGGCTAAGAATATCTTTCGTCACATATAAAGTAAAAATACTGTAGGCTGTTGCATTATTACCAAAAAAATAAAAAAATAAAGGGAGGGGGTGGCGGGGTGGGAGAAAGCTGCCTTAGAGATTAAGTTTCCCTTTTATGAAATCGTATTTAGTCTCTTTTTTTAACAAATCTAACAACAATGCTCTACAGCCGCTCACTGGGAAATACCTTTAATGTTAAATGCAGATTCTGATTTTCTTGGCTAATGCAGAAAGCCTTTCTATTGAAATATAAATAAGGGGTTTGGTATATCCCACTAAAGCCTTTCCAGTGAATGACTTCTGTGGGTTTTTCATGGCTACCCTCCATGGCTGTAATATGAGGCTTTTATCCTACTATTGAAAACTATCTGCTGCTATTAAAAAAAAATATGGAAGGACACTGCACCTTTTTATCTTGGAGCTGGGCTCCTAATTGAGAAAGCATTATTACTGCACTATTTAGAGGATGTCCCTATCTCCGTGCACTGCTGAGAAAATGCCAGTCAAATGATAAACCCTTTTATTTTTCTCAATTCAAAAATCTTTCCTACATATTTTCACTCGATATTCAGTTTAGTCTGAAAGAGATGAGGTGCTCCAGATTGGCTTTTATTTTTTTACGCCTTTTCCACATGTGAACGTCCCCCTTCACCCCCTTCCCCGGCAGATTTTCTACATGGCAAAAGCGTTAGTTGTATCAATGCTGACTGCCAGAAGCTGGGATGGGACAGCACCCTCTGCGCTGGCTATAGCCATTGAGGTATCTCACTGTGGGCTGAGCTTGGGCACAGATTTGTCAGAGATGAGATCTGGGCTGCAACTACAGCACAGGTCTCCTGGACCAACCTTACTAAGGCCTGGGCACCCTCTGCAAGGGGCTGACCGCCATCAGCTCACAGAGATCGACAGCTATTGAAAGTGTTCAGCGCCATTGAGGAGGCCTTCAGCAGACTCGAGGAGAAGGTCCTGAATACTTCTCTTCTGCTCCCACCAAATGGGAAGGAAATCTAGCCCTCAAAGCTGCTACACCATGAGGTAGTCATCTCTGCCGAGAAATGCATTTACAGATGTAAAAGGATGGGGAAAGGATGGGGTCAGGTCTTACAGTAGGGTTCCTTACAACACTACAGCACAGGCTGCCACTGCTAATACCCCCAAAGCCACCACCTGCCCCACGCTAAGATGGTGACTGCACCCACGAAAGATTCCTAGAAGACAACAACGTAGTCAGTGGGTGGCATATGCCCTCTCCTAAGAGGCAGATCATCTGGAGGTCTGAAGACTACAGCAGTTCAAAGCCCACATCCTCATTTATATTAAGGTCAAGTCCAACAGGGATGCCAGGGACTGACTCAGAGACTTCCAGTGCTAGAAGCGGGAAACTCTTAAGCTTCGATTGTAAAGATTGGAGACTCTCACAAGTCTTCTGGGGATCCCCTCATGGGAACACTTCTACCACAGGCAGGATCCTGGACCATCAGATCTAATCCCATAGGACAGTTCCTAGAGAAAGCGGGATAGTGGCAGCAAAGACAAATTGCCAGTGGTCTTCTGTATGGGATACAGTCGATTTGAACAAAAAAGGCGTGTCTGAGGGGACATCCTGCTGTGTAACACAACCCCCCCCCTCACTAGCAGGGAGCAGAGCCAGCCTTTCACCGCTGCAGAGGACCGCATCGCTGCAGAGGGGAGAAACGCCCTGCGCGACGGAAGCAGCCCCACGCCGGGTGCTCCGCAGAAACCGCTGCACAGCAGCTCGCCCAGGTGGGCACCATCACCTGCCTGCTCGCCTCCGAGCTGGGGAGGTCTGCTGAGTGGATGTTAACTGCACCACGTATGAAAGTTTTAGAAAAAGAAATGCCTGCAATTTGCTCACCCAGGCCAGCTTGAGTTCTTGCCTCCTCATTCAAAAGTCCCGTTTGGGGTGTGCCTGTGAATGGAGGCGTCACCCCCCCAGCTCCAGCCATCTGCGGAGACCCCGGACAGGCGGCACAGGCAGCAGTGCAGGCCAGGAAGCTGACATCTACCCCGGCAGAAGGAATAAGCAAGGACTTAATGAACCCTTGCTTTAGCAGTCACAGCCAAATCCTCTTCCCACTGAGTAGGAAGAGGATTTTTCCACTGACTTCAGCAGGGTTGGGATTTGATCCTTCCCGGTGGGTCTGCATGTGACAAAGGGTATCTGAATTGGGCTGAACTGAGCATCTCACCCAAGTCCCCTACCCTTTCACCACTGAACCCCCTTCTGAACCCAAAGCCTTCTGCTTTTTCCAGGCTGCCCTTTGCTCTCCCAGGGGACTGAGAGTCCCCCATCTGCAGGAGCTAGCCCTGTGTAGATACCTACATTGATTTAAACATGGGGTGGACAGCCCTGCTGAGCCCTGCATAGCCGTGAGGATCCTCCAGACCGATGGCTCCTATAAAGAGGTGTTACTGAAGCCTGTTTCATGGCACTTTGTAGAGGGCTCTCGTTAAAAGATTACCTAGGCAGTTGATTGAGTGTAAAACATGCTGTACCTGCAATGTTCTCCTGCTTGGGGCAAATTCCTTTTGTAGGCGTGAGAAGACGGTCTTCTTCATCGGGTGTGACTTGGATCCCGATTTCCACTGGCTCTGACACTTTCCTGAGCTCGGCGCGTGAGGAGGGGGGAGGGCTGCTCTTATCCATGCTCTTTTCATAGCAGGCACCACCAGTGCCATTGCACTGTTTTCTCTTGTGCTCTATAAAAACCAAGATGTCTCCCAGCGGGAAGTTCATCTGACACTGTCCACAGGTTAACAAGTCGGGGTCTGTCCCGCCTGCGGCGATGCTGATGCCGCCCGGCTCTGCTATTGCCAGGCTCTCATCCTCGTCGGCGAGTGCCGGTTCCACATGGTCAGCCTCTGCTTTACATGGACAAGAAGAAAGAGGGAGGAAAGGGGCAAGGGGAGAAGAGAAAGAGATTGCTTTGAATGTTCCAGAGTCCGAAGGATGCATCACGAGAGGCCCAGCCTCCCCCCACCCCACAAAGAGGCCAAGCCTGATTAGATCTTTCTTTTATTTTTCAGATTTTCTGCTCTCCCAGAATGATTTCAATGTATTTTGCAACCAAGCCTGCCTGAAACAAAATGGAAAGGCTGACCTGGCATAGCTTTCCTGACAGCTCCTTCCCACTGCTGCCAGCACTGCGAGGATATCAGCAAAGAGCCATTTTGCAAACACTCAAGCCCCAAGTCACTTTCTGAAATAGTTCTTCTCTTTTTATCCCACCTGCTCGTTCCCACCGCGTCTCCCAGCCATCTGGCCAAGGCCCCATCTAGCAAAGCGTATGCACCCAAACCTCTCCTCCTGTTTCTGAGAGAGGGCAAAACCTTGTGTCCTCCAAACAGGCAGGATCGGGCTCCCCGTGGCATACACAATTAGTACCGCCTTGTCCCGTTACAAAGACACCAGCAAGGCTAAATGACCACCCAGTAGCACAAATTATAGCAAACTATTTGCAAGAGTGAAGTAAGCACGATACAGTCTCATGAGGAGTTAAGGGGTTTCAAAAGTGTGTACAGTAGGAAAGAAAATGAGGCACTTTTTTAACATATTGGAATATTGGCTGAGCCTGAAATCTTCCACTCTATTTTCCTGATGTCAAATAACCCTGCAGTTGCTATATAGGTTAATAATAAAAGTTTTTTTGTTTAAATCCTGCCCACAGATCTGACGGATTTCATACCATTACCTCCAAAGGCTCGGAAAGCACTTCTGAGTGACCTGCATCAGTTTCTAAGAAAAAAGCAACTTCTCATTTCACAACTAATAAAAACTGTGGTTTTAAATAGGCATTTAGAAGATAATTCTTACATTATAAAATAATTACGGATCACAATCCATTTCTGGGGCAAAGCATGTTTTTTCGTTTGTTTTCTCTTGTTCTGCTGTGTAACTGCCAAATCCTACGAACCTTGGTCTTTACTTGGGCAAAATTTCCACTGACTTTTGCCTAAGGCTGTTTTGCCTCTGCAAGGACTCTAGGATTTGGGCTGAGCAAAACAGAGGAACTAGCAGTACGTAAACCAGGGAGTGAGACCTCTCATCAAATCAGGATTAAAGGAACAGGAGGAAAAACGTTCTCAATTAGCCCGAGTGGTTTGCTTATGGATTTCCTGGGAAAAGCAAGGCACACAAATATCTCAGAGAAGTGAGACTGAGATAAACAGATGTTATAATCCAGATCTGGATTCTCCTCTTGGCCGAAAACAAAAGGAGTTTTGTCCCACTCTTCACCAAACTGAAAAAAAAAAAAACAAAAACACATAGCAAAGGGATGGGAGGTAGAAGGTGAAATGAATTACCTGGCAACAAAAATGGTTGAGCCTTGAAAAAGGCAGTTTAGAAAAAGAATTGCCCCTATTTTCATCTTCCAGAATAAATAATTGATTGGCATATCTACCAGCTGTATTACACGTTGCATCAGAGCTCACTGACAGCAAAGCGGAGAGCAGCGGCAGCAGTACCAGCGGCAGCAGGAAAAGGACGGGGACCTCAGAGAAGTCCCCCAGCACGGACCGTCCTGCTGGAGCAGACGACGGGCACGGGAAGGCTTCGGTTTCCTAACTCACCCCAAGCTTACCAAATACACAGCACGATACTCATTCTGAAAACGATTAATTACCTTTTTCCCCTTAATCTAAGTTTAAAAGGAGTTTGAAGTCAATGCTACGTAATTAATTCACCAATTTATATCATGAAAAGATGCCTGCTTGCCTTAGTGAAAATGTAACCATAACCCTGCACCGAACAGCGACTGCTGGGAAGGGAGCGGATGCCTGCAAACAGTGTGTCACGATGCAAAAGGTAATTATTTAGTGCTGCGGTTCCCTTTAATGATCTAACTTTGAGCAATATTGTTTATATTGAAGAGAGCTTGCACCTTTAATTACTAATTACATATACATCATTTTAGAGCCAAAAGAAAAGGACTGTGAAAAGGGTCCTTTAGAAATGTGTGCGCTATTTCTAGGAAGAATTCCTATTAAGGGGGAGCAGAGTGTCAAAATACTAAAAAAAACAAAAAACAACCCACACAGAGAGGCACACACGGGCATGCAGATATACACACGGGAGATGGGACAAAGAGCTGGAAAAGACAACATGAAAACAGGAACCGAACCAAGGGTTGTAAAGAAAAAAGGTGGCAGAGGGGGAAAATGCCTGTTAGTAGTTTCACCTAGCATTCCTGTAAAGCCTTCAGATTAAAGCCTGTCTCTCAAATGACAAAGGCTAAATTTTGATGTTTATATATGTATAACAAATGAAAAGAAAAGCACGTATCTCAACTTCATTATCTTCTTCATGTGAGGATTTTTTTTTTTTTTTGCCTGCGATTTAAATTGTGCTCTTCAGAAAACATAGCAAAACTGCTGCATTTCATAAAGGTTCTGACCAGGCATCTCTGCAAACACGGAGGAGGTTTAAACAGCTAAACTGTTGCGAATTCTTCCTTTTCAGTTCTACGCTGTATTTGAATATTAGTTAAATCCACATATGCCTATTCACTTACACTCACTCTCTCTTTCCAAGGACTCTTCAATGGCACTTTTTTAAAATAACATCTGGTATTCCTTCATATTTTGGCAGTCTTCACACTACCGAAAATCAGTTTTTCGTTTTCTTGGTACACCGAGCCCTCACGATCAGTAGTAATTTGGTCAAAAGATTTTTTTTTTACTTGACTATTTCTGATTTGAGCTTAATAAATCATCAAGCGTGAGACCAGCCGTACCCCCAGCAGCGCAGAAGCTATATTACATCCCCTTATTCGGGATGTGGAAAACAGACATAAAAGAATGAAAAACAAAATACTGAATAGATCTTCAAATGCATTTTATCCATGTCAATTTGCATTATTATTTTTTTTTACTCGGAATGAAAAAAAAAAAAAGAAAAGGCTTCCTATTGACAACTCAATTAAGCCATTAAAAACCTACATTCAAGTAACATTACAGGAGAGATTTAAAACCCACAAAGGAAAAGAGAAAAAAGCCTGCAAGTCCAGCCCATAACGCATCGGGTCATGCCTGGTTAATGCAACAGCCAAGATCTTAGGCTGTTTAAGGAGTCCTTTAATACAAATGGGGCAATTTAGGCCAGTCTCAGTCTAAAGTTCTGACTCCACTTGTGTCTGTGGGTTTCAAATGAGTCGCTTCACATTATTTGAATTTAACTCTGTGGTTTTATTGCTGTTTGTTGGTAGCTGGGTTTGGGGGGAGGAGGGTGTTTCCTCACAAGTATTTATTTTAAATTAATTTACTATTTTTTTAAGAAGGAGAAATGAAGCCACACACACAAAAAAAGGAGAATGGAAAACATCTCATCTCCCTTACGTGGGAAAAGAAAAAAAAATGCAAAAGAGCTATTTCCAGCCAGGACTCGTGCCCTCGTTCTTCCAGGTGTATTAAGGTGTGCCCAGCATTTTCTCTGCACCCAGAGATTCCTCCAAAGAGGATTGCCTTGATGTTGCCTGCCAAGGAAGCACAGCAAGTCAGGGACGGGCGATCTATGGGGACGTGAGTGACACTGTTGTTCTCCGACGGCTTCACGAAATTAACGCCACCGAACAACCTAAATCATCGGCTTTACTCTGAAAAGCACTGCACTTGCTGTCTGGACTCTAAGCAGCATCTCCAAGCTCTCTGGCTGCCTACCACGCCAAAACACAGCAGACAAACTCCTTTATTCCGCAGAGGCACTGTCACAAAACCACCAGCGCTCCTACTTCAGCGTGGTGACATCACCAGAGCATATGTGCCCCATGCAAACAATACTCTCATGCCCAGGACTGAAGCAAATGCACATGCTAGCTACTTTCTGCCTGTCAGATGTCGCAAAATTGTACCCATTAATAATGAAAAAGGCTGTGTTACTAAAACTCGTTTCCAAGGCCTCAAAGGACAGAACGGTGGATGCTTGTTCACGGGGTTTGGGTGAGGCTGGGTCCAGCCAGCAGTAATTTATTTTCTCGCCTTTTTTATTGCACTGCAGAACCAAGGAAAGAAGTGATCTGAAAGTCACCAGCCTATTCTCTTCCTTATTTTTCCCACCCCACAGCACCCAAAGGAGGCAGAGAAAGGGGGAACAGTTTGGTGCCGGGCCAAAGCATTGCATGTGAAACCTCCCCTCCGTGGCCGGTCTCTGCACAGATCGATAACTGGGGTGGTTGCGGCGAGCACTGGCGGTGCCTTCACCCCAGAGC